GTGCAAAGAAGCGTGCTCTGCAAAGGAGCGTGCTCTGCAGAGGAGCGTGCTCTGCAAAGAAGCGTGCTCTGTCTTCACCGCGCCCGAAGCTGACTCACCGAAGCTGACTCATTGATTTCTCTAGTTGTGTGTCTTCGCGCGGTGCAGTCTGCAGCGGAACTCCACGCGGGCAGCAACCAAAAAATGGGTGGTGCCTGTTTCCAGTTCCGAGGCACTTCGAAAACACAAGTGCCACTTGTGTTTTCGAGCATCACATTCCTGCCCGGCATCGGAGGCTTCGATACCTAGCGCGCCACATTCCTGCCGCGCTACCTGCCCGGCATAGAAGCCTCAACCCAGCCGCGCTTGCGCCGCCCGAGGTCCAGGAAAAAAAATCCGGTTGTCCCGTGGGGGGACGACTGTAGGGAAAAAAAAATCCAGTTGTCGCGTGGGACGACTGTAGCACGCTTTTTATTTGACCGGTGAAACTATGTACGCCGTGCATAGTTTCTGCGGTACACTATAGGTATCAGAAATGAAGGATGTTGTCCTTCACTTCATGTCCTGGTAGCCGACCGCGCCAGCCCGCCGACGTGGAGGCTTCGATGCCGAGCGCGCCGCTCGAAAACATAAGTGGCACTTATGTTTTCGAAGTGGGTTCGTTTCAATGCGTTCCACCACCCGGCCGCACCACCTGCCCGGCCTCGCTTTCTGTGTCACGATTTGACCGGCGCCATCGGTCAAATCATTTCGGCGAAAACATATGTAAACATGTTTGAAGGACCTGTCACGGGCAACATCCCGGAGGTCCTGGACAACGGGGAGGTGACTGACGGCACGCACGTCACCGCAGGGCAGCTGGCCCTGGCTCTGACGGCCTACGCTCAAGTAACGGACCTGGCGGTGAACACGGCAGCCTCCGGCAACAACGCGGCTGTGGGGTCGTACGAATTTGTGGCAACCTTGTAATTTCCGCAGCCCCTTGAGTCGTTTGCGCGCGTGCGAAACGTGCGGCTTTGGACCATGTTTCTTGTATGTTCTTCGGCCCCCCGCTGGGCCTGCCAGGCTTCCACTGCGTCCAGCCTGGAAGCCCTTGCACACCCCCCAGAGCACGGAAAACAACGGCTCTCTGGGAGCCATGATTTCGGGTGTTAGCAGGAATTCTAAAGGTACCGACATCATGCATTGCTTTGACGCTTTCGTGGACGAACCTTCGCGGAATACCTCGGGCAGCGATTTTGGAGAAGCCGCTGAGCGATCTGAGCCACATGCTCTCAGATTTCAGGAGCAGGGGGTGGATTAGTGAGGCATGTGCCTCAGGTCAGCACCTTTGACGCGAAGCGCGGGGTGCCTTGCACAATCCCCCTTGAAAAAGATCATAAGTGTGATTGCGCTGAGTCCACACATCGGATCTTTCTCATAAACTATTTAAGCTTCGCTGTGCGCCGGCCCGTTTTTGATGTTGTTGGCATCTTTGATTCAATCCCCCTGACAATAAGCAAGATCTCTCCCATAGGGAGATAGCGCCTTATTGTTACGGGTGGATTGTGTATGAACACTTGTGTGGGTCCCTACTTTGGACCGTTGTTGTTTGTCTTATGGACTTGCATGGGTGGCGCTTGATCTACATCTGCAACCACGCATTTCTCATTTGACTTGCAAATGTTTATATTCCCGGTGCTTTGGCTTTAGGGTGGATGGGTTGTACACCCTGCATTTTTGCCCACCCAGCTACGCTCCTTTTTCAATGCAGGGGGTGAGGCATGTGCCTCAGGTCAGCGCCTTGAGGCATGTGCCTCAGGTCAGCACCTTGACCCCCTTGCATCCGGTTGAAAAAGATCATAAGTGTGATTGCGCTGAGTCCACACATCGGATCTTTCTCATAAACTATTTAAGCTTTGCTGTGCGCCGACCCCTTTTTGATGTTGTTGGCATCTTTGATTCAATCCCCCTAACAATAAGATGTCGTCGCAGCGCTGGCCGTTGGCGAAGACCTGGATTTCAGGCGGATCTTGATCGGCGTGAAGTGCTGAGGCTGCGTGGCGTTGGCGGACCGGGCGCAGGACGTGTCCTCGCTGCCCTGCTGAGGCCGGAAGAGCGTGTTCTCGAGCACCCAGCCCGTGCCCCGGGCAAGACCGTAGGCTGCGCCGCCGTCGCCGCTGCCCCGACTCCGGCCGTGCGGTTGCGCTTGCTTCATCGGTTTTTTAATAGAACATATTTTTTTAAAGACCCTCCGCGGGGGACTAAGCAGCTTGCGGCGTCGACCAGTAGAGCGGCGGTCGACAGGAAGCTGTCCGCGATTCTGATCTTGTAGACGGCAAGGCGGGAGGTGCAGGGACTCCTTCAGGTCGACCTCGAAGTCGCTGTCCAAGCCGGCCACCCTCTTGCGGCTGCCCACGTAGATGGTCATCCGTTTTTCCTTCGGACCCCCGCCGGTTCGGCGAATGACGGGTGACTGGACGGGACGGAGGTGCTGCGCAACAGCTTCTCAGGAAAGTGGGGCTCGCGGCAGCGTGCGGCGTCTGCGTCGGCCACCGTCCAATGTTGTCGGGCGGCGCCAGGACGCGCAGGCCTACCCGCTGGAAATTTCCACGCGTTCTGTGAGCTTGCTAGGCAACTCCGCGTGCGGCCACTGCGTGCTGCGCGGCAATACGCCTTCAGCGAGCAAGGGAAGGAGTTTGATGTCTGGATCATCGGATGCGGTGGCCAGTGCACGCAGCAAGGACAGCCTGTGTGGCTGGTCATCGTCGGGAGCAATGCTGGCCGGAGCTGGAGCGTTCACGGCCCCAAAGGCGATGTGTGCTGCTTCTGATTCCCGGGCTGATAGTGGAGGCTCAGGGTTGCCGGACCCCACGTGAGCAAGAATTTTGGGGATCAAGTTGCGTGCCTCTGCCCAGCGCAGCCAAGCTTGCGCCACTGTCCCAAGTGGTTGGGGAGTGATCACAAAGGCATTGCAGTAGGCAACTCAATGTCGTGCAGGAAAGAACCGCGCTTGGTCCTGGACAGCGCCATTTGCGGGGTAAACCCCAAGTGCAATATCCCAGAACGCATCAGCAATGGCCATGCCTCACATATAGCATGTTTCGAAATTGCACTCATGCGGGTGGCGTGGGCCACCGAAGGCCAGTCAGTGCGCGGCGTATGCATGCCCTCCGGAACAGACACCACAGCCTCCGAAGCCGGAGTCAACAAGCTGTTTACCGCAGCATGGCCCGCTCAAACCCCCGCGCAGCCAGCCGCCGTGTGGGCATGCGAGCACAAATGGTCAGTGATGGCATCGCACATCCCAGGCGAGCGCAACGTGTGGGCTGATCAACTCGCCGCGGGAACACATCCGCCTATGACAGCACCGCATGATTTCTGGCCCCATAAATCCGCGCTGTGTTTGCATCCAGCCGACGCACCCTGGCGGCCGGAGCATAAAAGTGCTTCGCAAACGCACTTTCGAAGGGGCCATGGATTAGCCCGTTTGCTTGGAACCCTGAAGTGGGGGCATTTGAGCAGGCTCCGCATGGGGGTGCAGGCACAGGGAAAGGACACGCTTGGTTTTCCTCCTGCACCCCCGAGCCTGGACTTCCAAGCGACGCCTCATAAAGAAAAAGAGCAGAGCGCACCTTGTGTCGGTCGTACTCTTTTACGGCTTGAAGCAGTGATCAAAAGTCTAACATATCCGCATGCATGAAGCATGATGTACATGTACCGCAACGGAGGCTTTAATTGCCACAAGAAAATAGCTGCCATTCGCTCGACATGTTATCTTTGCCATCTTTCGCGTGCAGGTGCTTTGTATCAGTTGCCTTAACCAGGGAATTCGTTTGGGTACTGCTAACCTGGGTTGCTTTTCGTTTTGCTCTTCTTATTGTCGACCGGCAACTATGTAGGTAGCTTCGGGGGAAAAATGTCAGAATCCTTGCGTAGGAACCAAAGCTGCGCGGAGCAAGCGCTTGGCAATGGTACAAGATCTGGAGTTTTTTGGTTTGTTGGGCCCCTTTCCGCCGCAACGCATGTGAGAAACCACTTGCCAGCAACGCGAGACATCTTGCCGCCTCTATATATAGGAGTGCGATCAAAGGAAGGTGGGAGGTAGTGTCCCAAAACATGAGCTTTCTGCGAACAACTTCATAAGGCGCAAAATGCTGGGCATAGACCACTGGGATGGTGGTTCTTTCGTTGTTTATGTTAGTATTGTACAGACAGATGCTGCGAGGTGCATTTTGTTTTCGTTGTTTTTTGTTTTCGTTGTTCTTGTCAGTGTTGTACATTGCGGACCGTCGTCACCGGCTGCGATAAATAGGTTGTTGGCGGCCCCGGAAGCGCGATGGCTTTTAGTTGGCGCAGGGTGTCGAATCCTCTTCTTGACAGTACCACCAGCTTGTCAGCCAGCCAGCAACGAGCTTATCAGTCATGTTCAATGGATTTGCGGACGTGTCGATTGGACATATTGAACATGTTTAAAACAAGTTGTTACAAGAAGCAACATGTTTGCTGGTCAGTCCGCAGGGGCTTTTTCAGAGAACATTTGTTATAATACTCGGAGCAATGCATGATGGGCAGGTTGTCTTACCCACGCACACACACACACACACATCATGTTGGTTTCCCGTGGTTGATGTTGCACAGCCAGCTTTGGATGTTGCGTGTTGTAGGTTTTAATTTGGAGGGCACATGTACAGTCAGCAGTTTGGCAAAATGGCTCAAGGCGTATGGACGGAATATGTGCTGCCATCCCACGCGATAAACAAGCTTTGTCGTGTCAACCACAGGCACTTTGGATTCAGAATTACAGGGCATTGTATGCGGGCATGGTTCCCTGGTTCATACCGGGAATCACTTGTGTACACCCAGGTACAATGGACATCTTTGGACACCTAGGCAAACAAATACAGCTAACCAGTTGCTTGCAAAGCTTTGTTGAAGAGAAATGACGGGATCCAGCGGTGGTCGATGAATAGCCCCAGCTTAAGTTAAATTTGGTTGATAGAGCCTTGTTTCCCCAAAGAACCCCACCGGTTTCGTCTTCCAGTGGACCAGGCCCCCCCCCAAGGGGAGCGACTTTTTGGGGAAGGGGCCGCTGGTTCCCTGCGGCCCCGTAGAAGGGGCCGCTGGTTCCCTGCGGCCCCGTAGAAGGGGCGCTGATGGGCCCGGTTGATGCCCAGGACTTTCGGGGCAAGGCCTCTGTCTCGTGGATCCTGACCATCCCTTTAGATCTTGGTGAATTCCCTGACTTTCCGAGTTGATTTCGGTTCTGTCTTTTTGGGTCAAAGTCAGCAACCAAGCTTGTTTCCCTTTCTACCACTTCGGAGGTGGCTTTGAACATGGTTAACAAAAACGGGGCCAGTACTTGCCGCATCACCACTCTGTTGGCTTTGGGTGGACCCGATTGATTGCATTCTTTTTTGGGTGAAGCTACCAGAGTGTTTGTGACCTCAACCCCCAAAAACGGTGTATTTAAACCAAGATAGGAAGGTTCCAGGGCCACTTTCGGGGCTGGTAGGGGTGGGGTTGAGGGCCTCTCTGCTGTTTTCTTGGGGATTGGTTGGTTTTGGGGGTCTTCTACCAACAAAGAATGTCAGCCCAGCTTTCCCGCAGACGCAACCGTGTTTGCCATGGGCCTTAAGTAGCTGAGGGCAACTGAGTGTTCCATCCATGTATAAGGGCCTGAGTATGGGAAACTCGAACTGGGTCCGAGCAATCAACAGAGGGACACCCAAAGTTCCCAACCCCCAAGGGCGAATTAATTATTCAATCACCTTTTTGGGGTCCACATTGATGTGCATGAGTTCGATCAGTAGATGACTTTGAACTTCCCGTGAAGGGAGTTGCAAACGGATGGATGCTTCCGATTTCCCGACCCGAGAATCAGATGCGCAAAGCATAGCAACCTCCATAAAACTGCCATTCCAACCCCAGCCTTAAAATGGGTGGGTTCGAGACGGAAAAGAGAAGAGCTACATATTTCAGCTGGCAGGGCGTCCTTAAGCCTTATGTGGCCTCAGTGAGACTTCTCATCCCCTGAACTGCATGAGGGGCGGGGTGGTCTGTCACTGTGATGTGCAGGTCGGTAGGGTTCCTGATTGCGGGACCTTTTGCATCACTTTGCCTACTAGTTAGCTGGGCGAGCCTTTTTTGGACTACCTTATTGGACAACACGCATGGTCCGCGCAAATCACTTTCATGATGTCCTTTTGTATGGCACGCGGTCCAAAAGCGGGTGGCAAAAGGACCACACTGCTGGCAAAAGCAGTTTTTGTAGGTTGAGACCAAACCAGATAAATAGGCTACACAACGCAATTCCTTTCGATAGTGACTTAATGATGCACGATTTTCAATTTCCTTTTGGCTTGCTTTCAAAACGAACCCCCCAACTGGCATTTGTGTTCAAAACCAGAAAAATACCATCCCAGTAACAAACGAGGATACCATGCAACAAGACGGATCCAAGAAAATTCACAAAGAATGCCATCCATTCATTGAAAGTAGAAACGTGGTCCCAGTTGATCAGAGATGCCAGCAAGAAGGGGGGGTGCCATCCATCTCGCTCAGGAGCCTGAGCTGCTGGGCGGCCAAGCGATGATGGGGTGGTCTTCCTTTTGGGTTCTCTTTGCCAAAAAGAAGTAATCCTCAAACAAAAAGCACACAGATATAGCCCTTTGCACTCATCGGACGAAATCCCCCTGTGAAGCGGATGCTACGCCATAGGCGCGGATATCCGCTCTGCGATATTGGTACAGCTTTTCCTGATACTGTCACCTGTTACGTTGGCCATTTAAAGACTGTCAGGCTATGAAGGGCCCCAAAAGGTGACACCTAAAAGTGCACATTGGGAAGTCGAAATTGCCCATTTGGTCGCCTTGGGTGCGCCCTTAGATACCCTGAGACTTTAAGCCCCTCCGAGACCCCAAGGCGCTTTTCCGTGAGGCCCAGCCTCCTGGTGGGCGACCTGCTGATCCGCCACCCCGACCTCGCGGGCCTGGCCGGGGAGCCTGAAGAAAGGCCAGCCTCTGCCCAAATCAGAAGGCGGCGCTGTCTCGTGCGTTTTTTTTCTCCTTTAATTATGTTATTATCATTTTTTATTATTATGATTATTATTATTATTGCTATTATTATTATTATTATTATTATTATTATTATTATTTTTATTATGAGTTATTATTATTATGTTATTATTAGATTTTGTTTTTGCTATTGTTATGTTTTTTTTTTTTGTTTCTGTTCTATGAGTATCATCATTGTTATTTTTTTATTATTATGTTATTATTATTATGATGTTAATATTTTTCAGTTTGTATTTTATTATTATTATTATTATTCATTTTGTATTTACTATTTTTTAACAATATTTATAGTTATTATTATTATGATATTATTACGATGTTATTATTAATATTATTACTTATTTTTTTATTATTAATAAAAAAATAATATTATTATTGATTATGTTTACTATGTTATTATTATTATTAAAATTATTTATTATGACTTACTATTATTATTAGACTATTATTATTTATATTATTATTATCATTATTTATATTATTATTATCATTATTTATATTATTATTATCATTATTTATATTATTATTATCATTATTTATATTATTATTATCATTATTTATATTATTGTTATCATTATTATTACTATTCTTATTATTTTTGTTTTATTCTTCTTCGTGGATGTCAGGGTCGATGCCAAGATCGTTATGCAGAACAAAACTGGGACCGGCCCCATTTTGAAAGGGGTCAAACGTATTTCAGTTCCGCTTAAAATTTCGGAATTTCCGGAGCGCCCAGACATGAACAGACTTAGCACGGCGGGCAACGACAAATGAGCTTTCCAAGTATCACTCAGTTTTGGGCCAACATGTTGGTGGGACCCCTCAGTCAGAGATGATTTCCAGACAAATGGAGGCGTGGATGAGGCAAATCTTCACCCACAAGAATGTAGTCTTCCAAGAATGGAATGTGCTGAGATCTCGATCTGAAGGCATGAGAACGTGTGTTGAAATTCGGTATGTGGGTCAACCATTTGCCCACATTTCCAGGAGGCCGATAAACGGCCCTTCCAGTCCTCCCGGGTCAGAGGATTCAAGAGCCATAAACGGCCCCTTGAACACTGTCAGTCCATTTTGCTTTTGGGAGATGATGCATAGATGTATGCGTATACATGTTTAAGAATTGTTCACCTTACTTGTGTTTCCTGGCCCCTTGTGCTATGGAATGATAAGTGAACCAGCCGTGCGAAAGGGCTACCATTCTACAGAGGCAGTACATATACAAATATATATATATATATGTATATATACACACCCCTTATATGCTGGGTGTTTCTAATCTCACCTCCAATCCCGCCCGAACATTTCCTACCCGCCAAAGACTTCAGGATTCCCCGGCCGAGCTCTTTGCAGTGGACGCCCCGGAGGCACGGAAAAGGGAGATGGCAAGGGCCCCCTCCCCAGAACATGCGCTCCCCCCTCAAAATATGGGGGCGTTTTCCCCGTTTCCTTTGGAACAGCCCCCAGGCTTCCATTTGGGGCTGTCTCCCAAGTGTGCCATGCTCGAAACTCCAACTTGCTTTTACTTGGGCTGATGGTCATCACCCTCAAAAGAGGAATCGGGCGCCCAAGATGCGCAAAAGGGGACTCCAAAACGGAGCCACTCGCCTGGGGCCGGCATCTCAGCTGGCGTCGCAGGCTTGATGCCGTAGCTGAATTCAAGACATCGTAAACTGAATGTTGTTGAAACTGTACGTGTGGGCGTGCGAGTAGCGGACGTACGAGTGGACGAGCAGGCGTACGAGTAGGCGTACGAGTGGACGTACGAGTGGACGTACGAGTGGACGCACGGATGGACGAGTAGGCGTACGAGTGGACGTATGAGTTGACGAGTAGACGTGCAAATGAGCGTACGAGCGGACGCGTAGGCGTACAAGTGGACGTACGAGTGGACGAGCGGACGCGCGAGTCGGCGTGCGAGTCGTACGAGTGGACGAGCGGACGCGCGAGCGGTCGTACGACTGGACAATCGGGCGGGCGACTAGATGTGCGAGTAAGCGTAGTGTATCATTTGTTTTAATATTTGGTCATGTTCAGCATAATTTGTCATAGTTCATCGTCACACCTTATCATACTTTATCATAAGAGACCAATCATCAGAATTTCTCATATTCTGTTCATACTTTAGTGCATCATCATACCTTAGTTCATCATTATAGCTTATCATCACTTATCATTATGCATCATAACTCATCATCATAGCTTGTCATAATTTGTCGTAGCCTATCATAGTTCATCATAGTGCATCATCATATGTTGTCATAGTTTATCATGATGTAGCACGATTTATCATAGGTTATCATAGTTCATCAAAGCTCGTTATCATAGCTTATCATAAGTTATAATAATTTGTCATAGGTCATCGTCATAGCTTAGCATAAAGTTTTCAAACTATCGCAAATTATCATGATTTATCATAGTTCATCATAGCTCATCATCATAGCCTATCATAATTCATCATCATACTGATTATAGTTTATCATAGCTCATCATAGTTAGTCATCATGGCTTAACAAAGTTTATCAACTTATCACAACTTATCAGAACTTATCATAGTTCAACATAGTTCGTCCTCATAGCTTTTCATAATTCATCATAGTTGATCATAGCTTATCATAATTCATCATCATCATAGCATGTCCTTCCTTGTGTATCAAAATTTATCATTATTTGGCATAGTCTATGATATTTTTCAAAATCTAACCTAGTTCATCATCATAGCTTATCATCAGTTCTCATGATGTATCATAGTTCATCATCATAGCTTGTCATAATCTATCATGACTTAGCATAGTTTTTGATAGCTTGTCATATTTCAGTCTTTTATCATGGTTTATCACATGTCATCACTGCCATTATTGCATGTTCTCAAACGATGTGAGGGATCACTGACTGGCTGATGAGTTCAAAGCACATGGGAGATGGGTAGGAGGAGGGGGGGCTACACCTCACCACAGAAAGCACCCTTTAAGAGCATATTGAAACATCAAGAACCACATTTTCACCCACTCGTGCACCCACTCGCACACTCCTCCATCCACTCGACACACTCACTCATCCACTCGCGCGTCCACTCGTATACTCGCTCGTCCACTCGTATGTCCACTCGCACGCCCGCTCGTACGCTCGTACAGATTCTGACCCGTACGGTTTTAAGGGCAAATTTTGGACACATAAGGCTTATTTTCCCGAAAATCGGCCTTAAAACCGTACGGGTCAAAATCTGTGCGAGTGTACGGGCGAGCGGGCGAGTGGACGTACGAGTGGACGAGCGAGTGCACGAGAGTGGACGTACGAGTGAGCGAGAGAGTGCGCGACAGGCATAGGATTCCACACGCACAGAAATAAGGCCAATTTTCTAAAAAAATACGCCTTATTTTTCAGAATATCTGTCTTATTTCTGTACGTGGGGGCTTGCACAAGTCCACACGTACAGAAATAAGGCTGATATTCGGGACACGTACAGAAATAAGGCCGATCTATTGAAAAATAAGCCTTATTTATTCCAAAAATCGGCCTTATTTCTGCACGTGTGGACTTGCGCAAGTCCACACGTACAGAAATAAGGCCGATTTTCGGGACACGATTTATTGAAAAATAAGCCATATTTTTCCAAGGATCGACCTTATTTCTGTGCGTGTGGACTTGCGCAAGTCCACATGTCGAAGAAATGGGCCTTTTTCCCGAAAATCGGCCTTACAACCGTACGGGTCAAAATCTGCACGAGTGCACGGGCGGGCGTGCGAGTGGGTGTACGAGTGGAAGTACGAGTGCACGAGTGGGTGTACGAGTTGGTGCGCCGGTTGGTACGCACAGGTCTGGGATTCACAGAAATAAGGTGGTCGAGTTTTTGAAATCAATGCCAGCATATTTTCTCCAAACATCGGGCTTATTTCTGTGCGTGTGGACTGGCGCAAGTCCACCACACGCACGTATTTTTCTGAAACTCGGCCTTATTTCTGCACGTGTGGCACCGGACAAGTCCACTTGCACAGAAATAAGATTCCTGGACAAACAAGCCTATTTACCACTGCCTAGAGTTTGGAAGGCGAGGTTTGGCATGATGCATCAATGCACTGTTGGGATCTATTTTGCCTCACGTGCCCAGGTTTTACTCATGAGACAGTTAGAAGACACATATGACTCATATGACTGCCACGGCAATGTTGAAGCATTTTTTGCTCCACTAAACAATGTCACCTACGCTCACTAGTGCGCATCACTTCACGGAACATGGTCCAACTGTTGAAACTTACAACTTAAAACTTTCCAACTTATTGACCAACTTTATATAGGCACTTTTATCTGTTGGAATGCAAGGCCACTCACGAGACTTTCGGCTATGATCAAGTGTAATATCTGCACAATGCATGGCTCAAGGAAAACAGTGGCCCCTAGCTGCTTCGGTCGGTGCTACCGTTTTTCATGGTAGCGGAGCGCCGGCTCCCTGGGAGGTTTAATCAGCCTCCGCAGGTTCGCGTCATCGGTGGACGCCGTGACCGGCGAGGTGCAGACAGCCAGGCGGTGGGTCGTGCAGGTGACGCTGGGGATATTTTGCTGGAAGGGCCCCTTGAGGCGCACCGGACTCGGGCCGTGGGCGGGCGTGGTGTTTGCGCCAGTTTATCTGCCTGTTTGAGGGTTGTGGCGGTGCTCATTTGTTTGACGTTCTGCTATGACTTCTGCATGGCGGACGGATCAGGAGGTGGATTCAACATGCAAGATATTGGCAATATCTTGAATCAACTGGTGCAAGAGCAGCGGACGCAGCAGACAAGGTTGGAGGAACTCGGCCGCGGAGTTTTGGGTACACAGACGGTTACAGAGGGTGTGATCGGCAGTGTTGTGGACCAGGCGCAAGGAGCCTTTCAGCAACAGCAACAGCACACGCAGGATCAGGTGACCCAGATTGCAGGAGCAGTGCAACAGCTTCAATCGCAATTGCAGCAGTTTGTGCAGAGCGAGGGCAATCTTACAACATCAGCAGCTGGGTCGGCGGGACCACCGGGTTTGGGCTCATCAGGAATGGCGGGCGGCAGCCCGAGGGGTGTGTCAGATGGTGGTGGTATTTCTGGGTCTTTACCACAAGGACCCGGGGCTGGCGCGGCATCAAGCAGGTGGTGGACTGCCAGGGCCAACGGGCACAGGTGTACATCCGGCAGTGGCATATGCAGTGCAGCATGGCGGTGTGGACGCAAAAGGGCTTGGGAAGCCATCGGTTTTTGATTCGAGCAAGACGGATAAGGTGACGTTTCAGGACTGGGCATTGATCACTCTGGTCGATGCACAGATTCCTGGGACTTGGGAGATCCTGGAGTCGATATCGCAGAAGCAGCCGAAGAGCAGCCTGGATCAGATCACCATCCTCACGGGTTTCCCACACTTGGACCGCACTTTGGTGGAATACAGATTCTAATTTGTATGCAATGCTTATTACGTTCGCCGCGGGAGAGGCACGAAGCCTTGTGAGACAGGCGCGCCGTCCGAACGGCTTGGAGGCATTCCGGATGCTGCAGGTGAGGTTCAACCCACTGACGGTCGGTAGGCAACGAGCCAACTTGACCAAGATCACCAGCCCTCCGGAATCAGTGCCTCTGAGTCAGTTGCCCTCAGAGATCATCGCATGGGAGAACCGCATTGTGGAATATGAGAGCAAGCCGGGAGCAGATTCGGTTTCTGAATGTTTGAAGATGGCCACCATTGTGGCTATGTGTCCGGCTAAGCTGAAGGAGCACTTGCAATTGAATGCGGCTCATGGAGTTGAGTTCCCTTCTACGAATGAGAGGAGGAGATCATCGTGCTCAATCAGTGGGATACGAGTTGGGCTTTGATGAGAGATGAAGAGGAAGAAGAAAGGAGGTTGATGCTTCAGACGGGATCATGGAGTGCCAAGGAGGTGTATGGGTTGGAGAGTGCAGAGGTTTTCTCCCCGCCGAGAATCGCAGAGGCTGGGAGGAGAAAGGGGTGCTTGAGTGGCATCGCGTTTGACTTGCGCACACAAGATGAGGATGGCAACGCTTGGGACCTTTCCAAGCCGGAGGTGCAGAAGAAGGCTGAGGAGCTGATCGACCTGTTGCAGCCGGAGTTGATCATTGGGTGTCCGCCCTGTGGGCCGTTCAGTGCTCTTCAGTGGTTAAATCACCCGAAGATGACGGAGCAGCAGGTGCAGGACCGCTTGAAAGATGCAGTGGCGCATGTGGAATTCTGCGTCGGAAGCAGATCTCGCGGAAGAAGTTCTTTCTTCATGAGCATCCTTCACAAGCAAGCTCATGGAAGTTGGAGTGTATGGAAGAGATCATGAAGGAAGATGGAGGAGGATTGGTCAAGAAGCCCACCAGGTATTTGACCAATAGCAATCAGATTGCCAAGGAATTATCCAAGAGGTGCAGCAACTCTTTGGCGGACACCGCGGCGGTTCAGGGGGCTGGATCAGGAGGGCCTCATTGGACGCAAATCTGGAGGAGTGACGCTCAATGCGAACACCGGAGAAGTTCTTGATGACCTTCGGTGGTCCAAGGGGATTTCTTGCAATATGAGCAGCAGCCACTTCCAGGTTTGGGTGCCAAGGACATGGAGACGGTGTTCTATTACCAAGATGGTGGGGCGAAACTGCAACGCTGTGATCCGGGGTATTTTGCGAGAAGTGAAGATGAAATACCCATTGGATTCTTTGAGTTTTGGGCCGGTCAACCAGGAGGTGGATCTTGACATGAGTGCTGAAGATGACTGGATGACTTATGTCGATGAGATTTCTGGCAAGGCCTTGAATGCAGCGTTGGTACGGGCGGCACGGCAAGAAGAGCTTGAGTACGCGGATCGCTACGGCATCTGGGACGAAGTGCCGACCCAAGAGTGCTGGGACCAGACCAAAGCAGCGCCCATCTCGACGCGATGGATCGACACGAATAAGGGCGATGAAGCGCGCCCAAATTACAGATCTTGTACAAGAAGTTCGCACCAGTGCAGTTGAGGCGATGTTTGCAGCCACGCCACCTCTTGAGAGCTTGAGATTCTTGATTTCATGACAGAGGTGCAGCCGAGTCAAGAAGAAGTTGATGTTCATTTACATCAAGCGAGCTCATTGGTGTGCACAGGTAGCGAGGCTTATTTATGTCAAATTGCCACCGGAGCGCCAGCGCGCAGGATATTGTGCCAGATTGAATCGGGCGATGTACGGGACACGGGATGCAGCAACATGTTGGGAAGCAGAGTTTACAGATTTCTTCACTTCGTGCGGGTTTGCACCTGGCATCGGAAGCCCGGTATTATTTTGCAATGCAGTCAGGGACGTGCAGGTTTCAATTCATGGTGATGACATTACAGCTGTTGTGGCTGAAGGAACGCTTGGAGGAGAGGTACGAGCTGAAGTATGGTGGTCTTATGGGCCCGGACGATGGTGACATCAAGGATGTTGCTATTCTGAATCGGCTGGTGCACTTTCAGGCGGACGCTACAACTTATGAGGCAGACCCTCGGCGTGTGGAGATTCTTTTAGCAGAATTGAACCTGGGTTTAGCAAAATCTGTGGTATCACCAGGTGTTGCTCGCACTGATGATGGGCCGGGAGAGCCATTGCGTGGGGACAACTTGAAAAGGTATCGCAGTTTGGTGATGCGTTGCAATTATTTGGCGACAGGCCGGACATTGCATACAGTTGCAAGGAACTTGCTAGGCAAATGTCGTCTCCTACGTCTAGCAGTTGGGAGGCGCTGAAACGGCTTGCGCGGTTCTTGAAAGGTTGGCGTTTTGAATGGCAGGAACCAGCAGCTGGGTTCACTATGTACACTGACAGCGATGACGCGGGCTGTACCGTGAGTCGCAAATCTACGAGTTGTGGAACTTTGATGTTGGGGGCACACCTCATCAAGTTCTACTCGTCCACGCAGCACGTTATATCACTGTCAAGTGGCGAATCTCAGTTTTATGCTGGGATTAAGGCCGGGTCAGTTTTGCTTGGAGCGATCAGCATGGCAGCAGACTTGGGCTGGACGCTTTCAGGGTACCTGACTCTGGACGCGAGCGCGGCGAAATCAATGCTGTCGCGGAGAGGCCATGGCAAGGCCAAGCACATCCACCGGAGCTACCTCTGGCTCCAGCAGAGAGTTCAGAGCAAGGACATTGTCTTGAAGAAGGTTGGCACTGCAGTCAATCCGGCAGATGCCGGGACAAAGCACCTGGATGGACAACGCATCCAGGATTTGATGCGGTGCATGAGCCTTGAGTACAGTGAGGCGGAGCACCGACTTGCTTTGAAAGCGTGAGGTGACCGTGTGCTTAGGCGCACAAGGTCAGGAGGGCCTGCTGGCATGCAAGGCCACTCACGAGACTTTTGGCTACGATCAAGTGTAATATCTGCACAATGCATGGCTCAAGGAAAACAGTGGCCCCTAGCTGCTTCGGTCGGTGCTACCGTTTTTCATTATTGGATTGATACAGCACAGCACCCTTACGTCCACTCGTGCGTCCACCCGTCAAACCACTACTCGTACGCGCGTCTAATTGGGCCTTTAAAAAACCCGTTTACGAGGTTTAGAACCCAGCAAATTGATGCCTCTCATGCCAGTTTCATTTCTGAGAAGAGGATTTGTTTTCGTTCTGACCGGGGAAAATAGGGGTACGGGTTGTACAATAACCACCTAACCTCTAAGAAGTTGTATAATCCAAACCACCCACGGGTTAGCAGTAGGGAATCATCGAAGGTTTCAGGAATCATTATCAGGATCTGCGTAGAGGAAGCTATCACTTGGACGGTTCAGTTCGGAGTCATTCCCAATTTCCTGGAATCCTGAGAATGAGACATTTTCAGAAAGTAGGACAGTCGAATGCGGTGATCTTCAACAGTGGCCTCGTGAGTTGCCCAACTTCATTCCACAAAGTGTGGATGAATTAAAAGCTCGCATCTGAGGGTGCCGGCCTTTTGCTGAACTTGGGACCCATGGGATTTCTCGCTTTTTGAGCCTTCGTTTTGTTTCTGCAGGTTTAGCGCATCAACCTTTGGGCGTGCCCCGTGAGTTTTCAGCGTAACGCCCACACGCCAGGCGGATCATGTTGAACTGTTGGGTGTCAAAGTCTGAAATGGTTGGTTTCCCGGTGACTTTGACCATACTTTGGCCAGAATGGAGGCCTTTCGGCGGGACCAGTGTTTTCTATCAGACGACGCTGCAAAGGAGGGCGAGTTTCTTTTTTTTTGTTTTTTGTTTTTTTTTATTTATTTTTTCAATATGCTTCCATGTATTTGTTTTCTTTTCATGATTGTTTCTTACTTCTCTCCGGGTTCCGGGGAAAGAAGTCTTTGGGGGCACCTTGGTGTTCCAAAAGACACCTTCCAAAAGAACCTGGTAAGCAATGCTGCAAGATTTCCAGGAGTCTTTATTCAATCTGCCTTGCGTGTTCCCCCCAAATAGCCAATACTTCCAAGAAAATGCCATACCCAGTTTCACACAAAAGGATATATATATATATATATATATATTGGGGCAGTCCCTGCCCACCTGCCTCCGATGGCTCCAAAGGCCTTTTCTGCAGCGGGGCACGTATCGAAGGTACTGCGGAGTGCGGCTGAGAATGTGCATCAAGGCTTTGTGCCATTTGCGCAGGAGGAACTGCCAGCCTTCGGCATCCCAGACGGTCTGTTGGAAGTTGCTATGGCTGGCAGATCGTCTGCGTGTGCTTTCAGGTGCGGGCAGCAAAGTGCCAACGGCGTCACTCGTCTTGCGTAGCAGCAAGGGCTCCGGACCCATGCTCGGAGAACGATTCATCTGAAAGCAGACCTTCATAAGCTGACTGCCATGTTCGAGAAGGCCCGTCTTGGCAGTCTTGGCTTGCGGAAGAGTCACCAGTGCCTCAGCAGGGCACTTCTCAGCGTCCTCAAGGTCTCTAGCACTGGAATTCATGCAGCGCCAACGAAAAGGGCGCCCCTCGCTTGGCGGCGCCAAAGTTCGTTACATGGCGAATTGCGAATTTGCACTTTTTCCACGACCACTGGTCCGACCGTGCTCCGGAACCTCGACAGGGCATGTGCGTGGCGAATCAGCCTGCTTGCTTGATCTCGCTACAACTTGCGCCAACTATCTGTCAAGATGCGCTTTGATTTACCGGGCCGAAAGTCGAGCCAAGTTCAGTTTGAAAACGAAACTGGAAACTTGAGCCGACTTGTAAAGGACGAGATGGGGCGAGGGCGAGCTCCAGTTGATGAGAGTTTGACTGGCAAGAAGGAAGATGACGCGGAGTTAAGGTACGTATTTACAGATGTATATCGACATGTAGAAGTAATGTTGGAAACATGAAACACATAGTCTAGGGATGTGTTGGCTCATGCTAGACATGTGGTACGCATATTCTAAATGTTCTGAAACCACACCAGGAGTAGAAGCCCTTAAGCAGCTGCTAGGGCTATTTGAGGGAAGTAGAAGCACACCAAACATATGCTAGCACCATGCAAAAGCGCTTTTCAAGGGAGGGCTGGTTTGTTCTCAGCGCGGAATATGGCAACCACTATTGGGTTGTTGTAGGGAACGGTCCTGTTTCTAGAGAGAGAGAGAGAGAGAACGGTTCTTGTAGGGAGTGGTTGGGAGGTTCATTTTCATATTCCCAACTAAGAACAAGCAAGCAATATCCTCTCAGGTTCATTGCCCTTTTCGTGACCGTCCACATATTTTGACACAACCCCTTTTGGGTTCGAGGAAGGAGGACTCCGACAAACGACAGGTCAACGGGCAACTGCACCGTGCCTGACAGGCTGCAAGCCCGCCCCGCCGGCCCCTCAGACGGATGGACTTGTGCCTTTCTCAAAGTTGCCGAGAGGTGGGCAGAAGACGGTTGGTGGTTCTATTGTGAAGACACTTGAAGTTGGTTGAAGATGATTCAAGTCAGTTGAAGGTGGTTTTAGGGAAGACAGTTGGTTGAAGACGATTGGTGTAGGTTCTTTAGGACTCAAGACCGGTGAATGTTGTTTTTTGTCAAGACCTTGAAGTTGGTTGAAGGTGAGCATTAAAAAAGTTTAGGTGAAGACAGTTGGTTGAAGACGATCCAAGACCGTTGAAGGTGGTTTTATGTGAAAATTGCTGAAGTTGGTTGAAGCCGATTCAAGACTGTCGAGGGTGGTTTTATCGTGAAGACGCTTGAAGTTGGTGAAGAAGATTCAATGAAGATGGTTTTTACGTGAGGATGCTTGCGGTTGGCCGAGGACGATTCAAGACCGTTGAGGATGGTTTTAGGTGAAGACGGTTGAAGATTGAAGAGCCTTGAAGATGGTTGTATACGAAGATGGTTGAAGACCTTTGAAGATGGTTTGCCGCCTGAAGTCTGCTACAGGTGCTTTGAGAGTTGGAAGCAGATGGAGAGGGTTGAAGATGAGTGGGAAATCATGGAAAGCCCTAGTTTGTGATAGCTTATTTTGCAGAGGAACCAAACCTGGGACAGCATGGTTTCAATCCTCGTAAGCGGCGTATAACCATCCCTGGTGTGGAACTCACTTGGCAACTGTGTGCCTGCAAAGCACCGGCCCAAGATACCATAGCGTCTATGCACTCTGGGCGAACGACCTGCAGGAAGAAAGCACGAAGCCGCCGGGAAAAAGGACAGTGGCTTCCCTTGAGAAACCGAGAAACCACCCGAGCAGGGGGTGTTTTTCTAGTTTGGGCCATTGGAAGCTCACGCTTGAGGAGTAGGAGAAAGCCGAGAAAGACGGCTCTGGCCGGGCTCCGGCGCCATTTGCGGAGATTGCGCGGCGGCGATGGCTCCGGCCATGGCCCCAAAAGTGTGGTGTGGAGGGGATGGCGGGGTGGGGTGGGAAACTCGGCTGTTGGTTTCGCATTCACATTTCCCGATCTGGAATCCTCTGAGATACGGGACCAAAAGCTTTGAGCGAAAGCTTGGAGACGACTAGGTTTCAGTGTACGTTTGCTCAAACGGCACCCTGACCATGAGGTGGCAGCCACAGTCTTTTTGGAGAACGTCTAAAAAGAAGCACGGACATGGATGCGTCTTTTTTCATGATGTGTATCTTTTGGGTGTGAAAACCACTGCTGCACAGCAGTCATGGGAGTGTATTTTGCCTCCTCTCACAAAGGGCAACTGCAAAGAAACCAGGCATATTCCACAAAAAAACAAGGAAATGAGGTATGGAAGAGACTCAGGAAAGAAACTGCCAGGCGTTTTAAACCCTATCCTGACGACTCCCAGTTTAGTGGACAGTTTAACTCCGAAAACGGAACAACACCCGTTTTCAAGGTTTCAACATGTGAATGATGTCCAACCAATGAGTCTTGCCCCAGATCCCAGATCACATCTGGGCTGTTCCGTCTGCCATAAATAGGCGGAGTAAGTGAAAGCCGCCCTTTCATTTTTGACCATAGGTTTTGGCCAGAGTACTTGAATGCCAGGTTGTGATCACGACTGAAATGCCCCTCGCAGTGGTCCTGCCCAGAAAGGGAGTCCCACTTCTTTCCTCGTCTCGGTGGTTGCTGGGTCCTCGCTTGTGATTCTGACCCATTTCCGAGGGCATTCTCAGGTTTTTGGTGCCGTGGCTTGCGGCACACATACCATATCAGTGCAAGCGGTGTACCCTCCCTTTCCTTTCCATGTATACAAGCTTCATGCCCAGACCCCGAGACTTGTACTTTGCATTTGACGACTCAACATAGCCCTGAAAAACTCGCCAGGTGTGTGAATTCAGATCCTTTCACCAGAAAGCCAAAACATCATCTCTGGGGTTCCGGTGGCCGCCTTTGGGGAGACCCCCAGTGGCAGTCTTGGCCAAGGATTGCAACTTTTTTGCAGAGATATCCCCTTGAAAAAGTCTCATTTCGCATCCGGGAAAGGTGCACTTGCTCTAGGTTCTGACATGATTGTTTGCAAACAGTTCTGGTTGGGTATGCCGTATGCCATTCAATTTTCAGCATTTCCTTGACAGAGCGGGAGTTGGACCACCTACCTTCACCCTGCAAGCTTTTTGGAGGGTTGACCAAGCTTGCAGCTACCTCAAGGGAACTCTAAGCACAGAGTCGGAAGCCACGTTTTGAGCAGCCCATTCAGAGACAGACTGATATTTCCCCAGGCAGGATGTCTAACATCACACGGAAGGTTTATTTGGCGAGACTGACCTGGGGACAACTTCTCAAGTCTTTTCAGGGATTCTTTTGCAGAGAACCGCCAGACGCCTGAGACTTCAGCTGTTGTTGTGTGCGAGAGAGAGATGGTTGCAAATTGAAAGTGGGGATTAAGCGCTAGAAAGCGTCTTATGTTTTATTTCCAGGTCCCTTGCACCACGGAAATGTGTTCGCGAGGAATTGAAGTGGGAAGCCCCTGGCAACTGAGCGACGTTTCCGGTTGAAACAAACCGGGTGCGTCGGACACACGCATCGCTGAGGTCGACGGAGCCTTGCCAAAGCATGGGCCATGGGCATTGTGCCGAATCGAAGCGCGACCTTTTTCCAAGCCAGGAGGGCAAAGTAGCATAGAAAATGGGGGGTCGCCAAATTCCCATGCGGGACAATTGCGAGGGTGGACTCAAAGGGATCGCACGAAACCCCGACTCGGGTGCAACCCCTGGTTTGAGGCGGGGTTTGCTTCAATGGCGACCAAAACATAAAAGAAATATCCGACTTACAAGACCCGGGGTGCGGGAAGAGAATTGGGGTTTCACCTTGCGCATTTTGCATTGGGATGTGTATATATATATATATACATGTATATGTGTACATACATGTGTATCTATTGAACCAGAGCCGATTTCCAATCATGCAATGCTGATCCCTGATATTGCCTGTTGGTTCGAACAACAGACGTTTTGCCTTGGACGACAACATCACCAATGAGCGAACCTTCTGAACAGTAGCTCCGGGGGTTAATGCGTATGTATATATGCATGTATATATTGTATATATATGTATATACACATACACAAGCGTCAAACACACACACACACACACACACACACACACACACACACACACACACACACACACACACACACACACACACACACACACACACACACACACACACACACACACACACACACACACACACACACACACACACACACACACACACACACACACACACACACACACACACACACACACACACACACACACACACACACACACACACACACACACACACACACACACACACACACACACACACACACACACACACACACACACACACACACACACACACACACACACACACACACACACACACACACACACACACACACACACACACACACACACACACACACACACACACACACACACACACACACACACACACACACACACACACACACACACACACACACACACACACACACACACACACACACACACACACACACACACACACACACACACACACACACACACACACACACACACACACACACACACACACACACACACACACACACACACACACACACACACACACACACACACACACACACACACACACACACACACACACACACACACACACACACACACACACACACACACACACACACACACACACACACACACACACACACACACACACACACACACACACACACACACACACACACACACACACACACACACACACACACACACACACACACACACACACACACACACACAACAACACACACACACACACAACACACACACACACACACACACACACACACACACACACACACACACACACACACACACACACACACACACACACACACACACACATACACACACACACACACACACACACACACACACACACACACACACACACACACACACACACACACACACACACACACACACACACACACACACACACACACACACACACACACACGTCACAACACACACACAAACACACACAAACTGCATTTACGATGACGATCGATCGACGACGATTTTCCACGATCACGATCGATCGACATATTTAGACGACGACACACGATTGACGACGATCGATTGACGATTACGATTGATTTATCGATCGATTGATCGATGATCGACGATCGATCGATCGATTAGCATTTATCGATGATCACGATTTATTTAATCAATCGATCGATCAGATCAGATCAAATAACAGATTAAGACGATTGATAGATTGATCGACAGACAGATAGACAGACAGACAGATTAGACAGACAGACAGACAGATAGATTAGATAGATAGATCGTGGATTGTGACAGATCAGACAGACAGACAGATAGACAGACAACAGCACGCACGCACGCACGCGCACGGGACGCAACGCACGCACGCACGCACGCATCCCACGCACAGCACGCACGCACGCACGCACGCGCACGCACGCACCCACGCACGCAACACGCACACGCACACGCACCACACAAAACGCTACGCAAGCACGCACGCACGCACGACGCCCACGCACGCACGCACTCATCGCACGCACGCACAGATACGCATTTGTACATTTATCGCACGCACACGCACGCACGCACGCGCACGCACGCACAGAATGCACGCACGCACGCACGCACGCACGCACGCACGCACGCATGCACGCACGCACGCACGCACGCACGCACGCACGCACGCACGCACGCACGCACGCACGCACGCACGCACGCAACGCACCCACCCACCCACCCACACACACACACACACACACACACACACACACACACACACACACACACACACACACACACACACACACACACACACACACACACACACACACACACACACACACACACACACACACACACACACACA